CGACGAGGGGCTGGTAAGTAAGTGGGGCATGCACGTGGGTCGTTAGTTAGTTAAGTACACGACTGTGTCCATGTGGCTCGTGATTGACTGCAGGGTGTGTATGAGGAGTACCGCCAGAAGGTCATGTTCTTGTGGCGGAGAGAGGTCATCGAGGACTTGCCGGTAAGTGCAGACCGCCTCAATCAGTGAAGGAATATATGACACACACACACAGCCGTACACATACGCGCCACACACACGTTCTTCTCCACATATCTGTCTGTCTGTCTGTCTTTGTCTGCCGACATCCACGCAGGAGATAGTCAAGAATTGGTTCCTGAAGGACGACCAAGAGGTCCCGGCCGCCGTGCTGGAAGCCGCCGCTGCTGCGGTCGAGATACCCACCCCGCGCCTGTCGACGACAGTGGCCACGACCAGCTGGAGCCCTCACGCCCAGCCATCCCACCGCTCGCCCTCCCAGGGCCCGCCGTGTCACCGTCGACCTCCCCCGGCCCCACACACCACCCACAGCACCAGCACCAGCCGCACAGCAGCACGCCCCCACCGATGCCCCTTCGCACTGCCACCACACCCAAGGTCACAGCCCACAGCCCCGGTGGACCAGCCGCCGCACCCTCCACAGCCACACTCAAGACCAAGACACAGCAGCAGACACACAGCGGCAACGGCGAGACCGCTTGCGCCCGTCCACTCTGCATCCAACAGCACACAGAAGCTGCCGGGTCAGATGACCTCCCCGTGTGTGGTGCCGTACACATCTTTGCCTGTGTGTCTGATTGCAGACTGCCAAGGAGCCCGTCACTCACCACGTCCAGGCCACCAGCGTACGCAGATGACTACACGAGACACGACGTCACACGAGGAGAGCTTATGTATGTCCTCTGTTTATCGCTGTGTGTATCCATGCAGCCAGCCAATGTCGGATGCGTCGGCGAAACCTCACACACATCCACCCACTCACTCACAACATGGCCCCATCCAAGTGCACCTGCCTGCCTGCGTCTGTGGGTGTGCAGGTCGGTTCGGTCCCTGGTGGCCATGCATGTAGGCCGACATATATATACTGTGTTCACAGACAAGTGAGAATTCTCTGTTTTTGCAGATCGCCGTCTACATTTTATATTCGTCGGCATATCTAACAATCGATGCGCTGCCCCGTTCGCCCTCCCATTACGGAGTCGCCATTTGGCTGCCCATCTGGCTGCCCATCTGCCAGCCGCCTGCGAGTCGGCAGCGTGAGAAGCACCAAGACACCGCAATCCAATCGGTATGCACACACCCGGTGTGTCTGTGTATGTGTTTGTTGCTGGTGTGCAGATCGTTGTCTACATTTTATATTTAACCGACTGATGACGACACGCACCCGCACCGCCTTGGCCCGCTGTGTGCGCATCGAAGGTGAGCTGTCAAAATAGACTGATCGACTCCACTCCACGTGTCTCGCGTCTGTGTGTTCAGAGCGATTGAAGGCCCCTTCTACTTGATCCAAGATTCCCCGGCGGCCCCACAGGTGCGTAAGTGAGTGAGAAAGGAAGAGGGTCATCGACATTCGCTCATGTCTCCTTCTCTTCTCCATTTTGTCTCCGCATATTCGGCCGCTTCGGCGGCCACCGAGATCGACGAAGTGCCGCACAGGAGGTCGAGAGGAAGGACAAGCCGCGGTGGGCCGACTACGAGGATGATACAAGTAGGTATACAGACAGACAGACAGACAAAGGGAAACAGACAAAGGAAACAGACAAAGGGAAACAGACAAAGGGAAGCAGACAAAGGGAAACACTCGACACTGTGGAGGAGGCCTTCTCGCAGGCACAAGAAGCGGCATCGCAAGGACGAGGAAAAGGACAAGAAGCGGCAGGGGGAGGTGACATTGTCCCC